CCTATAGGTCAGCATTCTACTATGAATCTGGTATAAACTACTCAATAAGAAGGATTCTGCCTTTGAATTATAATCTATTTCAGTCTGAGGCTGCAAGAATAACTACCACTTAGGAAGCAGGCAAATGTAGTAAGGGCACACAGAAAGCTTTCAACTGCAAAGAAATCATTTACAGTTCTGCAAAAATAAACACTCAGAGAACAACACTGCATTTAGAGGAGCTTGGCAGGTACCTGAGGGACACTTACTTTAAGAGATTTACTTTCTCCTGTTGGAAGATGCCAGACTACTCCACTGGGGCTGTTGATGGTTGGATATTGATTCGTGCACTCTGGGTTCTCATAAGCCATGCATCTACAGCACACGCTTTTAAACCTTGAAAATACTTTATCCTAGCACCCATTTCTTGACCACTCCCTTCCACTTTGTTACTTCTGAAACACTTAAAGAAGGCTTTCCTGGCCCTGCAGTGTCCTACAGTCTCATTCCTGAGAGGTCAAGGCATAATGATTTATGAACTGCTGTCTAACACCTGAATAAGAGGTAGAAGAGAGATACACTACCGACTAATAGTGAAAACCTTATTTCCCACATCTACCAGCAAATGGAGATTTTGTTTGATGAGAAGATGGCCATGACCTGGCATAAATGTTACTAGCTGCATCAACAGCAGGGTGACAAGCAGGTTGAGGGAGCTGATTCTTCCCCTCTTTCCTCTGCTCTCGTGAGACACCACCTGGAGTGCTGTATTCAGCTCTTGGGGCCCCAACATAAAGATGTAGACCTGTTGAGTGCAGAGGAGACCATGACAGTGATCAGAGGGCTGATCGACCTCGAGTTGTTCAGCCTAGAGAGGAGATAGTTCCACAGAGACCTTACTGAAGCCTTCTAATACTCAAAGGGGCTTATGAGAAATATAGGGACAGACTGCTTTTTATCAGGGCCCATACCTGTAGGACAAGGGGTAATGGTTTTAAACCAAAAGAGGGCGGATTTAGGCTAGATCTAAAAAAGAAATTTTTTACAGTGTGGGTGGTGAAATACTTGAGCATGCTGGCCAGAGAAGTTGTGGATTCCTCATCCCTGGAAACATTTAAGTCAATGTTGGACAGGGCTATGAGCAACCTGACCTAGTGGAATGTGTCCCTGCTCATTATAGGAGGCTTGCCCTAGATGGCCTTTAAAGGTCACTTTCAAATGAAACTGTTCTATGGTTCTACGATCTCTACCAAAACAAGATATATAGATAAGTATTAAAAAATAAGACATCGAGTCAAATTAAATCCCTGTGTCATTGAATACAATCTAATTGTCTCTGCTCTTCAGTGTTCAGTGGAATGCAACTTTTATATTTTTGCAAACTTCTACATTTGCACAAAGGAAATTAGTGATGAAAACAGTTTCTTTGGTTTACAAGTATCTAAAGCAAATAAAAACTGAGGCTTGGTATAAATTCTTTACTGAAATGTGTACGAATTTATTTTCCTACTGTTCCCTGTAGAATACTGTATTCCAGTGAACACTGTATTCTAGTGTTGACAGAATTTAATTTTTCTAAGCAGTCTATTCCACAAAAAGTAATATGATTTTCCTTTTATACAGATACTGAATGAAAATATGTGCTGAACATGAAAAGAGCCTAACTAATCATAAGTGCCCTCCTTTTTCCTAACATCAAAAGAGTAGGCAAGGTTAGATGAGCAAAAGTTTTGAGATTTGACCTCAGATGTTGAACTTGGCATAAATCCAATATGAATCATTAAGTGATCCCCTGTCTTTCTTTACTTTTCTTCAAGGTAACTATTTATATTGGGTGATATTCCACCAACCTCTACTAAAACCCTCTCTTCAGCATGTGTCTCCAAGCACAGTGCTGTATCAAGGAGCCAGTCAATTAAAACTTTCCTGCAGCTTAGGGATGTTAGGCTAGGCTTTATACCAGAGTCTATTTGATTATCTCTTACACTGACCACTCATTTACAAATGCAGATCGGTCTCTTGATAGCTCTAGATATGTTTTTCAAGTCCTGCAGTAATGGAAGACTAACGTGACTGCACTAATATAAGTCATTTTATGTAGAGTTTCCTTTTTAAAATGTCTTTAAGGCTCAAGCTAGACCAAATGGCTTAATTGAAGAAGTTTTTCTGAGTGTGCATTTAGGCATTGTAAGTTTTTACTAATCACAAAGTTTTAGTCTCCACCTGGACACCTGGATCTGCATTTTATGCCTGTAAGTTAGCAAAGAATCTCGTAGACACTTTTTTTGGGTCTTTTTAATCTCTCTTAAATGTGAACTGTTATCCAAGTAGGTTCTTATGAGAGATCCAAACGAGAACTGCTTATTTAACAGTGGTCCTTGTAGGCTCAGGGATTGGTGAAGATACCTGAGAAGTGGCTGGTACAACTGAAGAAGAGGATAAGAGCATTCACTACAGGGAGGGCTGGCAGAGGTGTACTTCTTTAACTCCTGGGACAGCACTGATCATAGATTTAAGGTGGATCTCCCTCAAATTCATTGTCTATATGAGCTCTCCCTGAAGCCTTTTAACTGTAAACAAGGACACAACATTATAAATAAAAACAACTGAACAACATTATTTCAGAGAGTGAAAATTAAAAAAAAGGTTTCCTCATAAGCCCACTGTATACTTGAAGTCAGTTATTGGTACACCAGCCAGGTCTTAGTAAGGTCTGCACGGTCCTTCCCCCCAGACCATAAGCAGAGTTTGCTCTTGGCATTTTTGAGACCCTGATAATCTTCTCCTCAGCTTCACATAGGACACTTTCTGCCAACACACACACAGTGGTCTTATTTTTCCCCAGGGGATGGAGACATCTCTTCACCCTGAGGCAAGGTTCATATCAAGGCAGTAGCTCTCTTCAGGAATAGATCCCATGAATTTATGTCACCTATGGATGAATGTGATCTCCTAAAATTAAATTAATGGCGTCTATAGAGACTGCAAAGTGCTTTGAATTCATCAGTCCTTTACCACCCCCATTTTGATAATGTTATTGAAAAAAACAGGTCAGAATGCAAAAGCCCTAATACAACCTCAACCAATTTTTTTAATATTGTAAAATCCTTTATATTATGTTGACCATTTCAAAATGTGGAGGAAAAAGTCATGAAACAAATATTCGATGGATTTGATGGTTTGAGGATGCACAGTCCTGTAACTTGAATAGCCGGAGTAAAATGTAAAGTTTATTACCAACTGTTTGGTATGGGCAAACTACATTTTTCTTTCTCAGCAGCAGCAACCTTAATACATTCTGCAGCTTTGCCATTAAATATAGAGAGATTTCCATCTAATTTCTAAAAGCAGTTTTGTGGAAGAAAATGGGTAATCAACATGGAGAATGTCTTTTTTTCCTGAAAACGCTTTTAGTCTGACATAAATGACAGCTATTTAAAGGCAATCACTTGTATTTTATATCTCACACAAAAACCAGCAGACACAGTACTCTGCCTTTGAGACAAAACACTAATACATATGACAGAACATTTCGAGCAGTAATAATCAGAAGCTACAGATCCAGCAGCATCCAGAAAACAACTGAAATTTCTCCATTAAGATCTGTATCTCTTTTTGCTATCCTTGTTCAGTCTTTGACTGATATTTTGTTGCATTATGAACAACTAATTATCTGCATCTGACAGGTACAGGAGATTCAAATCACACTCATCCTGCAGTGTGTACACTGATAACTTACACATCTGTTAGAAATAAAGTGGTTTCAAAATATCACCCAGGAGGCATGTGTTCTGTTCAGTGACCTTTGGAAACTCTAGTCCAATGAATAACTAGTGATGCGCGAGTAAGTTGAGACACAGTAGATAAAAAGTGCCTATAACCTTACATGTTATCTGTTATAAGGATGGTTATGACAAAAAGATATATTGCTCTTTCATAATTTGCCTGAGACAGCAAAATCAATGAGAACATAAACTTGTATCCCTTTAAGTTGAATGGTTATGGAGTTCATTATCCTGGACAATTAAAAATATAACATACAGAAGAAATACTATGAATTATATAATGTAAGTATCTAATTTAATGGTAATTTGTTACGTTATAGGCATTTTTTCATATGGTGTCAGTCACATCTTGATAAATCTGGCCTTTCATTCAATCATTTTATGTAGAAAGCGTCTGACCTGTGCTTCAAGATGGAAAACTTTCATAATACTAGGATGTTGGTAGAATATTTAAGGAATTCAGCAATTATATTCTTGCATCCACTAGAAATCTTTGTAAGCACTACAACACATGGCAAAGCTCAGACTTTCTTTCTCACACCATACGTGACTCATTTGGTCTTGATTTTGTGCCTAAGTCCACCGTGTAAAGACAGCAGCTATGTAACCAAAACACAAGGAAAAAACACCAAATCAAGGAAGATATGATGCACAAATTTTAAATATCTCTTTTTTCTCGGTGCTACTTTTAAACCCCACTACCAAGAAAGCCTTCACTGCAAGCCCTGATTATATCTCAGGTAATTCAGACTTTGAAAAAGCATATCCTTTACATATAGATATGGTCTATAGCTTTTATGTAGCCACTTAAACATTAAAAACCCTTTTGAAATTTTTGTTTGACAGTATTACACTACATGCCCTCTATTATGCACATGTGCAAGGAAAACTAAGATCTTTAAAGGGAAAAGATGCCGCCGCTCCATTGACAAGCCAAAAAGGGAGTTACCAAGTCCTGCAGGCTCTTCACAATAATCAAATGCCTAGTTGAGCGCTGAGAGAGTTATGAGGAAGAAAAGCATTTTGATACTGTCTGCAAGTAGTTACAATTGAAAGTTCTTAATACCATGAAATGGTTATCCCGTCGTATCACTCACACTTTTACAGTTTATAATAAACAGTGTCCACCTTTATTGAAAATATAAACAACTTTATTCTTAACCACGTCCAATTTCACAATAAATGGCATTATTTTTATTATACTGTTCTCTTGTAAGGAACATAAATTATACTTACCCTCTCCAAAGTAATTTCTTCAAATTCATATTCAATTTCTGTTCCATTGACCTAAACAAAATAAAATCAGAATATTCATTAATGCACATGGAAGGTAACTTCATAGGCATGCTGTACAGCTATTCCAGTGTCATCAGTTTACTGAAGCACATTTTTCACCATATAGGTGAGGTTTTCTAAATTGTCGAATACTTAGCTCCCCTTTGTCTTAAATGGCATGAAATCAAGCCTATAAACTTGAAAACAGTAAAAGTTCAGTATGTAAAGAATATGCAAGTCCCTTACGTAATATGATTGATATTTGATATAATGTGTTTGTGGAGTTTGTGCAAATATTTAAATAGTTTCCAAGGTAATAGTTTCATATCAAAAAAGAAGACCTGTTTCTAAAAATTGTTCTCACAAACGGAAGAAATATTATTCATGCATTGTCTTATGAGCTCCAATTTACATTGCAATACAAAAACAGACAAGAAACTCATAGTACTTATGTAAAAATCACTCACTGATACGTATACTGAAATAGATCTTGTTTACTATATTAACCTAGGGCAAGAATATGACAGAGGACCTTTGAAACAGACAGCCAAACAGCAAAAAGGCACAGAATGTTAATGTAATTCTTATGCTGAGTCTCAGTGTCAAAATAAATTAAGCTACAAAATGTAGAGTACCAAAATGGATTGCACAGCACAAGAAATCTATCAGCTGAAGACATGACACTGATTTAAGCAGTATTCAGAAACCTTGTTCCAGTCTGACATGGATTTTTTTTGTTCCTCTAGGCAACTCACTTAACATCCCTTACTTTTGTCATTTCTTAAATGGGTAGAGTACCACATCTGAGAAAGCTACAAAGGCTGACTATGTTGTAAGTAAATTGCAAAGCAATGAAAATACTTCTCTCATTAAAATCTTAGAAGAATTTCAAAGCATTACTTAGCTACAACCAGTCAGTATTTTTTTGGCTTGGCCAAAAGGTATTGATTAATTACAACAACAACAACAACAACAACAACAACAACAACAACAACAACAACAAAAAGACAATTTAGTTTTTGTGATGATAAGATATGTCCTGGAAAATAGTTTTACTTTCATGTTTTATTTAATTCATACTTAATGAAAAAAAAATATTTTGCAAGATCTGAACTGGAGCAAGCATTAGGATTGACTTGGTCTTCAAGGAATAAATTTGTTCTATATCAGAACAAGAACATTTATTATGCCTCCCCACTCCCAACTGCTAATTTTCTATATTAGATTTCTAACTGTAATTGGAAAAAACGATACATAGATCATTCTTTATCTAGTCAAGCACCTTTCAAATGTAATTAGATACTTCTACTGAATATTATAACAAGGTACACGCATGCATCTACCAAACAAAAGCTTTCTATAAAATCCACCAACTATTTAATTTGTCTGCAATTCAAGATCTTATAAACCATGAAATCAGTAAGAGAAACTCAATCCCCAGAATCTGTATTACAAAGGAAAGAGGGAGAAAAGTCCAAACAAACAACTCATGCTTAACAATGAAATGAAAACACATCATCAATGAATAAAATATTTAATATGTGCATAAAATTTTTATTTTTTACTTATTTCAATCTGGTGATCACATCACACTACACTAAAACTAGAGATGAAAAAAAAATTACTATAGGATGTTTTCTGTTCTATGTTATCACTTTATTGCTTTCTGTATTGAGTCTTTTATTATTATAGGCAACTTACTAGGTATGAATAGCTTTATAGCTATTCCATTTTTCGTCCTTTCTAGTCTAATGATAATGAAATCAAAGCCATCTATATGTCTCTGTTTTCATGAACTTCTCTTTCATCTTACTTGGTGGATAGCTCTGATCTATGTCTTCAATTCCTCAGTCTTGCTCTATAAAGCTGTCTTTGCTTCACTGCTTATAATCGCTTTTCCTTTGCATTAAAAACTCGTTAGTGCAGCAAAATGGGAAAAAGAAGGATATGAGAACCAAGCAACCTCTGTATAAAGATGAAAGGACAAAACACAAGCTGAATACTCAATTTGTATTTGCACACAAACGATATATTGCTTATGATCATCTGAGGGGGTTCTATTATAATCTACAATTGCAATTCTGAAGATGCCTTCAATTCAAATCGTGATTAATTGCAGCAGAGTTCCATTTTCAGGTTCCATGGCATCAAGGGTGATATGAATTAAAAAGCTGATCTTGATCCAGCTCCTTTTGTTTAAACATATATGTCTGCATATACAGTTCACTGCCCTGTTTCTCTTTTGCTGGTTCTTCAGCAGACCAATGCAGTTATTTTGTAAAGGATCTAAAAAGATATTGCACCTACCTGAGGCTGGTGGAACAATGCTGTATGTAGTACAGCTAGCACCATTTTATTTCATATTTAGACTCTCTGGCTGCACCTACACTGCTAAATTATACTCAGCTTTCAGCCAATTCTCAGTGCTTAAGGCTGTTTCTGTCTGGAGCCTGCTGGAAGTAAATAGCCAAGGAATGAGCCAACAGTCAAGCAGAAAGAGAATCATGGCTCCAGCCCTGGAACTGGCTTGACTTTCCTCTCATTTAGCAGCATATGGACATACGCTCTGTTTTTGTACATTTTAACTTGACAGTCTCTGGCCTGTCAAAGCAACTAAACAAGCTCTCTGAATCTGCAACTTACATTTCTAGAAAGTAGCGGGAATATGTTCTTATGTCTCTCTCACATGAGTTTTCTATATCCTACTTTTATATCAGATTGCAGCAAGAACACACAGCAAAATTTACTATAGCCTGCATGGTTTTAGATAAAATAAAAATTCCAAACATTTTCATACAGTTTTCTCTTCTACACAGTGAAAGAAATCATCAGCATTTCCCAGATGTTTGTGAAAATTCTTTCTCAGCTTTCAGGAGTGCAAGCTCAACATGGCATATATCTTTAATCTCAAGTAACTTTTTACATTTATAATTCTGAAATGTGAGGTAGTCATCTAACACTGTATACACATGGAGGTCTTAATTCATTTCATCCCACACTAGAAATCTCAGGTAGGTGAGATGAATTGCGCCCTGAGGTCTCCTATCACTATGTACAAACAGAGTCTAAAAATGACATGTGAATGGTGAGCACTTGCCTTAAATCTGTTTTCTCTGCATTTCTCCTGGCTACAGACTGGTAACAAATTTCTGCAGAAGGGATGCTTTATGTCTTTCATAATTATACAGCAGTGAAAGACCAAATCTCCAGTTTAGCAGCTTTTCTGATTGCTTTTTTGGGCTTGTCTGGACCTGTAACTGGCAGTACATGCATGGCACAATATCCAGCACCTGCTTCCACATGCCCAACCAGTTAGGATAACCACCGAGAACAATTCAGTCTTTCCCCTTCTCCAAAAGCTCAAAGTCAAGATACATTGCTTATGGCTTCCCTCTCTCATTTAGGACACTGATGTCCACTCTTCTGAGAAAGGGTGCTTAACACCAGCTGTGACAGTAATGGGCCCACAGGACTCCAGAAAGAGTGGGTAAGAGGTGCACTAGATGAGTCCCATGGGTTGACACCATCAACTGCATCCCTTCTTCAAGGCATAGAATCTGGAATCAAAATGTGTCTCATCCAGGAACATCTTTTATTTCCAGCAGAAGAAAAAAGATACTATTGACCAGGACAAAATATAGAAGTGCTACATGGGAGCAGGTCTACATGAAATCTTGAGGGAATTTTGAGGGCCTCTGTTGCATTTCCAACATACAGGTCTAATACAAGAAGTTTCTCGGTCTCCTGATCTTATATATGTTCATGATTTAGAGAGTGATGAATATCCAGCCCCTGTAGAATAAGTTGCCATAATTTCATTAAGCTCCAATGTTTAAAACAACTGCTTATAAAGGCAAGGTAACAGTTGCCTTTCATTTACAGCTGCACCTGTTACTCTGGAGGACTCTCCCTAAATTTTACAAGAAAATGTATTTAAGAAAGAGATGTGTAATATACGGTAACTATCTAGACTTCATCATTTAAGAGAGATTTCCTGGTGAAGCTCTCATCACAGTTAGTGTTTGCTTATCTTTCTAAGAAGAAAGCCCTAGTCATTTTCAAATGACACTTACTTTTAGAAGAATGAAAAATAAGGAACAGGTAGAGGTTTTTATATATTATTTTGTAAAAAATCTGAAATGAAGCTTAGCACACAGAACATCTAAGTAAAGACCTGACAAACTGAGATTTGTTTGTTCATTTATGGGAAGACTTTTACTCTGACTTTCCAGGAAGTCACTCCTTTACAGCAATTTAAGGGTGACATAAGCAGCTGAAGTAGTCCCTTAATGAAAATCAGTTCTACAGATGCTACATTCCTAAAATACTTGTGAAAAATATTCTGTTGAGTTTTTTTATTTTTTGCCACATACTCTACCACTTTATTAAGACGTTTTAAGAATTTTTTTCACACAATAATAATATTTTGATACTCTTTTTTTTTTTTTTTACTTCTGCAATCATTTGATTTGATCGACCTGCTTACACTCAAAAAGTAAGCATTGGATAATTCCTTTTTGCTGTACTTCTACCCATCTTCAACTGCATCCACCCACTCAATAAGACAGAGATTTCACCATATGAATTTTAAAGATAAGAAGTGTATTATGATATCAGTAACAGTTGATATCAAAACATGTACAGTTTATACAATTGCAATATTTCAAAATCACCACACCTATCCTTTCTAATAAAAATTGCCATTAGAGCTCTTTGTTATGCTTAGCCTTATTTTCAAAAAGAGGTTGTTTTCCCTAAAAGTAACAACATCTGTAGACTTTTATTACAAGCAAAACTTATTTTATTATAATATTATATATATTTAATTGAATATTGTTTTTCAGCCATTTTCAAGTAAGAAGACTGCTTCTTTTACTTCTATTACTATATGCATAGGAATATAATTACCTTTCAACAAGTAAATTTTATTCCTTTGGCTGTATGGTTTTACCAGTTGTCTAATCACCCAAATCTCAGCAGAATACAAGATTACCAAATTCTTGCTGTGCAAG